GCTACCCGGCAAGGCAACATTTGATTTGTCAGATTTTCCTTGGAAAATATTCTAAGCCCAAACATACAGGATTTTTTTTTTTTACCAAATTGTTTTATTTACATAGGCCCCAAACCTAAAGCAGGCCCTCATTTTTCTAAGGAGTGTGTCATAAAAATTTTTTAGTGAACCACAATGATATAATACAATGGACCAAATTATTTACATAGATAAGCCTTCTTAAAGCCTCCAACAATTTCACTCTGTCTTGTAAATGAGGAAGATGAGGCTTATTATGTAATGGCTCAAAGTCATATAAAAGTGGAATTCAAATCCACATGTGAAAACCTATTTTATACCATTTTTGTGTTAATTTGCATATGTAGGATCTGTCTCTATTTTATTGAACAGGAAATGGAATTGTAAGTAATGATTTGAAGTTATTAAATAAAGGCCATCTAGTAGAATAACTAAGAATATCGATTTCCTGGGTAAGTATCCAACAGAAATTTTAAAATAGTCATTCTGGGGAAAAGTCAGATTGTAAAATGGGTAGCTGTTGGTTCCACTGAAAAGCTCTTCGGCACTTGGAGACTTTACTTATTACTTGATAAAAATTTTTAAGGACTTTATAAGAAACAGATGGCCTGGCATGTCTTTCACAGGCACCTTGAGGTGCCTTAAATAATAGATTAAGAAGAAAGCCGGGGGCATTTTTGTAGTCTGTTATCTATCCCTGTAATGTGAAATGACAGTAAAAAGCCAGTAAGTGCGCAGTGACTGTATTCAGAGTCTTGGTCTAGGCTTGGCGGGACCTGGAACATGGATGTGGTGTGCTCCTAGCTTGTAACCTGTTTCCATACCTGAGGCGCAAGCTACAAGGACAGAGCCGAGGTGGGGACAGTTAGGGTTTCCTCTTCTCCCTGTCTGCTCCATACTGTGCCACTTTACCTGCCTTTAAAAAAACGGAAAGCATATATAGGAAAGGAAAAAATATAAGTAGCTATGGGCTCAGGGGACAGAAAAATGGTTTACTTGTTGGGATCAAGAAATACTTCCGGAAGCTGAGCGCTGGAGGTGGGTCTTGGACAGAAACGAGATGGGACAGGCTCTGGTGTGTTTGCTAATTGATAAACTCACTGTTAGAGCTCTTTTGTTGTTGTTGTGTTGTTGTCCTTTTACCTCTTGTGCTTCGCTAAAATCCAAGGTGAAGAAAAATCTAAAATGAATTTTAAACTACTTGCCCACTGACAAGCTTTTACAAATGCCGTTATAAAGCTGGTTTTATTTTGAACATTACTCACCCCACACAATCTCCACGAAGAGTTGAGTATAACCACTCTGATTCATCACGCACAAGAAAAGCAAACACTGAATTGGGAGGTCGGACGGATCGTAGAACAATTTTAATTTTTTAAAAATTGTTCAATATGTTTTTCACATCTTTGAGGACTTTTATCTTCCTACTTATGCAGCATTCTTGTTTAGTTTCCTTGGTGCTGCACTAAGACTTTTTGAAGTTTTAATTTAAAGAGTACCACTCTGAAACCATGACATCTTCAAGTTCTCCTCTACTGCTTTATAGCTTTGTAGCATTTTATTTGTTTTGTTCTGTTTTTGTTTTTTGAGGCAGGATCTCCCTATGTAGTTCAGGCTGGCCTTGAACTCACTATTTAGCCCAGGCTGACCTTGAACTTGCACCAATCCTCCTGCCTCAGCCTCCTGCCTCCCCAGTGTTAGAGAAGTCTGTGACTACGGGGAAGAACTCGGATTCTTAGTATTTTAGAAGTAATATCACAACTATATGCCTAATGATAAGTGACTATCAAAAGTACAAAGTAGACGTCACATTTCAGGTACGGAAGTCACTGAGTTTCTTGGACTTGGGCGGTGTTTGGTAATGGTGGGGATTGTGGTCTCAGGGATTCCTTTGAAGATTTCCTCCCACACTGATCACCCCTCAGATAGAAAGTTCTTGCTTTACAGCACACCCCTCTTTGTCACTCCACGATTTAAACAATGGCTTATGGCTAGATGTTCCAAACCTGATGTTCTCTTTATGGAAGTGGGCTCTGTACTGGAGAGTAGAGGGCCAGAGTTGCTTTATATATTGCAGATTCCAAACGTGGTCTTCATGTTTATTGTAAAGAGGATGTTATGTCCTGCAGTTTGGAGCTGTTTGATTTACACAGTTTAAGACTTGCATTAAATTGGATATTTAATATTTGTAGCCTTTTAGATCTTGAATTCTGAAGTCTTGGTAATTACTATTATATTTCATTGTTCCAGTCTGAATTTTTTAATGTCTTTTAAGTTATAAAAATGTTTTATGCTTATTGTGAAAAATGTAGAAAAGATAAAGGGTAAAATAAGACGGAAACTACCCATAATTTCACAGTGGGTAATAACTTCTGTACCCATTTGGAATATTTTCTTCCTGTCCTTTTCTTCTACTCTAGCTTTTTTTTTAGTATGTGCAGGACATGCCTATACCTATTCTATAGGGTTGTGAGGCTGTAATTATCATTCCTTGTTTTAGTATTGAATGCCTGTATGGTTTTCTCATTTGCTCGTTCCCCTAAATATTCTTCAAGTGTAGAATGGAAATACCTACGTGCCTCCTTTATGTTGTTTCTTTTGTGACTTCTTATACTTCTATACTGACCCCTGACTTAAAAAAAATTAAGACTTCATAGAATTTTAATTATTAAAAACCGTAGTTTTATTTAGTAATCATACCTACTTTGGGCTCAGATTTATGAACTCCTGAAAGTGGCTAGTCATGTGGTGGATTTTTCTTGATCTGAAGGATTAGAATATGGGGTTCTATGACATTTATTCAGTAAATCCAGTCTCTTATTTCCAGTAGCGTGCATTTGTGACATCTTGGACATGGGTGGTTTTTGTGTTTGTTTGTTTGTTTTGGCACTGGGGACTGAACTCAGGACCTTACACTTGAGAATCAGGCAGCAGAACCACTGAGCTGAATCCCCAGCCCCTGACATGGGTGGTATTACAGAGCCTGAAGCCATGGCCTCTGTGTCCCCCAGGGGCTGTGTGACTTTGGGCACGTTACTCCATCCCATCGGCCTTCCTTCCCAAGGCTAAAGTCAGAGAAGATAAAAGCCATGGCACAGAGCGTGCGGAAGGCCAGCCATGCTATGCCTGCTATTTCCCTGTTGCCATCGTGAGCTCTTTGACCACTGAACGGAACACAGTGACCGACCAGCCGAGGAAGGCATTGGAACACGTGAGCTCTCGGCTCTAGCTCTCTGAAGGGTCTGTCCACGGGGAGAAAGGCAAACATCCTAACATCCTGTTTTCACCATGGCCCGAAGGACGGCATCTTTCTGTGTCCCGTCTGAGAAGCTGCCCTTCAGGTAATAACTGCAGACTTGGCAATGAGGCCACATTATAGCAGCTCACCACTGTGTCTGTGTGGTACGGTCCCTGGGGACTGGCTTTCCACAGTGACTCTTGACAGTGGCTCACTGTTCAGTGGTGACACCTCTCTCTGTGGACACCGGTGCTGCTTTGATGGCTGTTGTGGCTGGAAGTAACAATACAGCTGCTTGCATTTACTGAGGGTGGACTCTGACAGCTAAGAGGTTTTTCACTTCATTTAATTCTCCTGCTGCTTTGTGAGGCTGTGATTATCATCCCTATTTTATAGCGAGGAAACAGATTTGGAGAGTTTCACGGTGACCTGAAAGAGCTCTGATGCTGGTCTCTGTGACTCCAGGGTCCGAGCTCGTGGCTTTACTTGTAGCCCTGTGTATTTGCTTGGTGTTTACTGCATGGCCTCCTTCCTTCATCCAGCCCATGTTTGCTGAGGGTCTACTGTGTGCCAGGCCCTGTTCCCAGCACTAAGTCCTTGCCCCCCAAGGCTCACCTCCTGCTCTGTTAGTTGTGAGCGTTTCCAACCTAGAATGAGCATCCGTCTAAAGCAGTGGCTGTGTCTTCCTCCTGGATTGTAGGAATTGGGACCAATAAGACATGGTAGACTTTCTGAGCCTAGAGAAGGATTATTTCTGTGAAGATTCCGGTAGCTAGGGCATGCCTCATATTATTCGTCAGGCCATATCAGAATTGGCCTTTTGCTTTTGCCAACTCCTCAAACTGGACACGTGCTTACTAAGAAGCATTTAGAGGGTGTGTGATTGTTAGTGATAAAACTGCCTCTTGATAGCTTGGTTGACTCCCTTGAATGTTCTATCAGTATATGGGGCAGCCAAAAAGCTTTCTCCCCCCACACTGAGGATTGGGCCCAGGGCCTTTGCACTGAGCTATGTCCCCCCAGCCCTTTGTATTATGAGACAGGGTTTCACTGAGTCCCCAGATCACTCAGGCTGGGCTCAGACTTGCAGTCCTCCTCCCTCCACCTCCCAGAGTACTGAGATTTTCTTTGTTTAGAACACACCAAAATCATAACACACACCTAATGCACGGGGTGTAATTATTTCATAGGACAAACAAAAAGATCCTGTTATAGTTGAAAGATAAAAGACATAACCGGGAGGTCCAAACGTGAGAGGAAAATATTGATACTGTATTTATTAAGAATATTAAATCCTTCCTAAAAATGAATTATTAGAATTTGGAAGAAAATGGTAGCATGAAGCATTTGTGTTGAATGTCACTTGCTATCCACATACAGCTGGAAAGAGTTTTATATGTTCTTGAGTGGAGGTTAACATGTTATCTTTTTCAGCCAGGAAATGATCAGTAAACACTGCAAAGTATGTTGCAATGTAAAAAAATTAGTTGGTTTATTTTTGCACTGGAAATTCAATTGAGCATGTTTTGCTCCACAAGGAGCAAACGGAATATGTATGTTTCTCGTCTTCTTTGTTGGTTATTTTGTTTTGTTGCTGTTCTTGCTTTCTTTTTGTCTTTTAAAGTCATTTATCCAAGAAGGAGGATAAAGTAGCTGTCCCTTTGGGTTTTGCTTCTCCTTGGGCCCAAGCACTGGGCTCTCTGATACCCAATGCAAACTCCATGAATATCTTTCATTTCCCCAGAAGGAGGTGTGGATTTGCAAGGCTACCAGCTGGATATGCAAAGACTCTCTGACGGCCCAAGGAATGATGTGGACTTTTCAGAAATTCTTAATGCAATACAAGAAAGTAAGTTTGCTCCAATTTTAAATTCACCATGAGAGGAGAAACTGTCGTAACATCTGGGGTGGGGATAAGGAGAGTGGAAACTTTCAATGCCGAGCTGTAAAAAAAATGATAAAATGATGTCCTGGAGGAGATACTGTAAAAAATAATCTTGAAATAGAAGAGACAGTGAGATAGGAATTTAATATATGAAACTGAGCCATGTAATGTCAGGGTCTTTGAAGAACCCTGTAGCTGAATTACACATTTTACACATTTAGTATGCTATTTAATAAATTTTCAAGTATTGTAATATTTTAGATTCCTTGATTAATTATAATAAAAAAAACTTTAAGAAAGCAAAACACCATTCCTCTACCCAAATGTAAGAAGTTAATATTGATCTGGTGCTCTGGAATCAAGAATTTAGTCCCCAGAAAGGTATTGGAACCATCGCTAACAGGCCGCGTCTCACAGGGAACCCCTGTTTCTAAGCATTTTGATCCATCAAGCTTAGTTCTTCTCAGATTATTTTATTTGTGTTTTGTGATCTTCACTAAGAATTTTATCATAATCAAAACATTTACCAAATTGCAGATTTAGCATTGGGGAAGTCATTACAGTCGTGTCATCACCGGAGCTCTAATTCTGGATGGCAACACGCCTCTCAGTCTCAAAGAATTAAGTGTCAGTGTTAGATTTGAGGGGTTCAGATAGGAAGAGCATTGCATAAAGAACCGTGGGTTTTTTTTGTACTTTCAGTTTGGGAGTGTTGCATTTCTGTACTAATTGTATTTATCTTTTCGGGTACTGGGAATCAAACCCAAGGTCTGCCACGTGCTAGGCAAGTTCCCCGCCACTGAGCTACATCCTAGCCTTGTAGCAATTTTCTTATGAATCATTTCCTCATTTTAGTAGTCATTTTCCACATTCCTCACTATACTGTTTTATTCACTTCACAGCCCCACTTGTGGTGGGAGGAAGTAACAAAATAACCTACAGACCTAGAGATCAGACTGAGTGTTCTGGTACTTCATGAACCCTTTCACGGATGTGTTCAGTTCAGGGTTTAAACAGTGAGGTGAAGGATCCTGCAAGTGATGAAGATGAAGCTACTTTTGAAAGAAATATTTTTAGTGAAGAATGCAACAGTCATGTGTTCTGGCTAGGAAACCCTTGTATTTGGTTAGTGAATAAGTGAAAGTGGTCCCCCCACCAGAAGAATAAAAATCAAATTAAAAGACACTGAAGAGATAATAACTTTTCATGAAAAGTTGTAAGATTATATTATTATTACATTTGATTTGAAAGATGATAGATTATATAGTGCTCAAAGGTTTCAAAGATCTTTTTCCATAAATGATAAATGCTGGCTTTCACGTAAGTGCCAGAAATGAACTTAACTCATGTTTTTGGTGGCTACATGAGCGGACATTAAAATGAACTAAGGGTTTATAAAGGGTGATTTTAAGGTAGTGTTTTATTATGAGATCTTCATAAAGACATGTTTGTATATGGTGCTAACTGCTATACTTTAGAATGCTGATCTCTTTATAAAGAGGTAGAGGGATCTAAATTTATGATTACTTTCTCTGTAATTTCAAAACAAGAAAATGGGAATTTTACTTCACTTTAAAATGGAAATCAAGATCTTTATAGTTTGCATACTTTCTAGTGCTTGAGAAGTAATCTATTCTCTTATTATAAAACGAGTTTTCTGCTAAGTAGATCTGTAAAGCTGCCTACATAGGCTGGGTCTTTTCTGGATTCATATAGTTAGCCAGGTCTCTGCAATTTGTCAGTATAAAAATACATAGTGTGCTTTTTGAAGGGCTGTATCTTACTGTTTCTAGAAAGCTTTGAGAGACCAATAAGTATTGATGTGAGGAATACAGAGCTCTGAACGTCAGTTGAACTCCTCCCTTACAGATATTTTTGTTGAGATTATCAAGGTGATGGGAAGATTTAACTTTTTTTTTTGTTTCAGTTTTGCTTTAGAAGTTTATGGCTGTGTATGTGTAACCTTCAAGATCAAGCTAGAAGTGTGGTGTGTGTGAGTGTGTGTGTGTTAGAGAGACAGAGACAGAGACAGAGACAGAAATATTCAGTAATTGTATATTCAGTTTTGAAGGTGAGGAAACCCCGTGCAGCTTCCCAAGCTTTATGGTTAATTTGTGATAATCAATAGATAATTGTATATCAGACTTTGTCCTGCTAAAAATGCAATTATTAGGAACTATAAACTCCCTTGGTTTTTAACCATTTTATTCTTACATTTTCATATTTTGATTCAAGAATATTCCCATCATTCTTACATATTGTAAAATACATTAACATTATTTTTTCCTGCAGTGCACACATCCTAAATTTACCTCATCTATACCAACTGTGTCTCAGAGTGACTGGCCATACTCAGTTTGCTTTTCTGGGTCTCCCTGTTTGATGTAAAGCTTATAAAGGAAAAAAAGAATTGTTCTATCCATCCATTTGTCTGTTTTCTTACCTGCTATTTGCCAGTCACTCTTTAGGCATAGTACCTGAAAATATTGGTGAGCATTTTGGACTCTTGGATGGTGTTCCTACCCTGGAAGACAGAACTGTGTTGTGTCCCACTGGGCTGTAATGGGAAAAACAGAGGACTTCAAGAAGACAGCTTGTGGGTTAGGGTTGTTGGACTGCTGTATCCCATGGTTGGACCCTCTGTGCCTGTACCTGTGCCCACACAATCACCTAGCTGTTCCTGCAGTGGGCTGGTTTGGGCTTTTTTGGCTGGGGAGCTGCATCATTTCTCTAGTGACACTCCATGAGTCATTTTGAATCCAATTTCTTGAGCTTTGATCTCCTATTTTAAGCTGTCATGCCATTTCGGAGGGGAAGGGACGGGTAGTGGCATGTGTTGAGCATGTGATCTTGTGTGAGAACCCTAAGCTTGACCTTCTCCTTGTGCCATTTCATTTAAGCCTTAGTTTCCCTTTGCCTTAATCCTCACATCTATAAAAGAAAAGTGGTTGTAATAAACATACACAAAGTCCTTAGCAGAGCACCTATGCATGGTAAGCACTGTGTCGGTGTTGGCTGCCATCTGTGTCTTCATTTCTCAACATTCCTGTCTGGCGAGTGGTGTTATGACCATTGAAAAGATAAATTAAAGCTTGAATAAGCTTTATCCAATCTAGTAACTAGCTAGAGGAAGGACTGGCGTTTGAACTTTGATCTCTCTGAAGCCAAAGCACACGCTCTTTCCAAAATGGGGGACATTGCAGTCAGTAGACTTTGAGGATCTTTCATGCAGAGAGCACCATTGACCTCATCTCATTTCCAATCTAGTAACTAGCTAGAGGAAGGACTGGCGTTTGAACTTTGATCTCTCTGAAGCCAAAGTACACGCTCTTTCCAAAATGGGGGACATTGCGGTCAGTAGACTTTGAGGATCTTTCATGCAGAGCACCGTTGACCTCATCTCACGCCGTGAGAAAGTACAAGGCTAATGAACAAAGCTTGCACATAGCTCACTGTTCTCCGCTAAATACCATGCCTGGGGTGGCAAGAGGTGCCATCATTATCTGCCTTGTTATCGGAGTAACCAAGGTGCTTTTTCTTTACAATAAAGGAGGAGCAGGAAAGGCTCTTCACAGCAGTCTTGCTGTTGTGGTAACAAGTTAATGATCCTGGTGCTTTACAGAGTGCCTTGGGGTGCAAGTCCTGGGCTGTTTTATAAACATTACCATGACTGAGCCAAGACAAGGCAATGGCATATTTTTAAGGGCCATGCATCTTTTAAAATCCTGTAATTTTATTGTTTACACTGACATTTTAAAAAAATTTCAATGTGTATTAGTTAGGTTTTTGTTGCTATGACAAAATACCTGAGGTAAACAATTTAGAAGAGTAAAAACAATGTTTGGGTTGTGGTTTTGCAGGCTTCAGTCTACGATCTTCTGGTATCAGTTTAGAAATATCATGGCTGAAGGGTGTGGGGGAGGAAATCTGCTCACCCTGTGGCAGCCAGAAAGCAAAAAGGAAAAGAGCCAGAGAAGAGGAGATCAGCTACAGTTAGGCCCCAGTGTCGCACGCCATGACCACTTCCTTCCACGAAGCCCAATCCCAAATCTCCATCACCTCCCAATAATGGCATCAATTACAGTCTCGCTAATGGACCGGTCTGCAGTTGAGAACAGAGCCTCACCTCCAATCACACGGAACTGGTGGGGAGTATTTTAGATACACACCGTAACAAAAGCCTTCTGCAGAATGTTCCCTGCCAGAGGGAAGATGCCTACAATCCGGTCTATAATAATCAAAATGCCAGGTTTTCTTTAGTGAGATGTTAACATCACTATTCGTTGCCCAAACCCACTAGCAGAAGTCAAAGCAGTACAACTTGTGTCTCCCACTAAATATATTTTCAGCGTACAACCTCAGTACATAAAAGAGAGAAACTGAGCTCTTCTGTGTAAGTGAAGCTTTGCTTACTTACTTTATTCTTTGCCCTTTTTATGCCCCTAATGCTCCTCCAAAAGATCCTGGAGTTCCAGGGAACATACTTTGGCAACTGCTAGTTTTACTGGAAAGGAATAAAACAAGCTAAGGAAGCAATGATGTCCTTCCCAATTACTTTATTTATTTATCTTGAGTTCTTTCTATTAGGTCCTGCTTTATTCCTGTTGTAAAGCAGGCAGCCTGTGCCTTCGGGATATCGTTATAGGCATTGGAAGAGTAATGAACACCTACAGAGTCCTGGGGTTACGACTGTCACATAAATGCTAAACGGTGTTCGGCTCCTAAAGTCCCAGCCTAAGGTGCTGCTCAGAGCTGTGCTGTCTCTGTGTGTTTCTCTGAATTTTTAAAAACATTTAATTTGATGTATTTGTTACATTTTAAAAGGTGTCAAGCCTGTTGGGCTACAGATGTAAAGTCTAGCTTTATTCAGATCAGTGTTAAAACAGTGACAAGATAATTGCTTAGCAGTTAAATGACTTCCTGTTCTTCAAAGCCAAACAGGATGTCAGAACAGCAGAATGCTCCCCGCAGAAACGAGCAGCCTACTGGAAATAGCATGGATGCAGGAGTCACAGCTGGGTCAGAATCCATCTTCATCACTTTTATCTGCACCCAGCTGTACTTAGCGTTTACGAACCAGGCTTTCTCTTCATGATACCTGTCTTATAGGTTGTTTGAAGAGGAAATGAGAAAATCCCCCTGACAGTCCTCAAACTGGTCCCCTTACCTCTTTCTACAAAAAGGAAAAGTAACAATTGATACAACCTGACAGATAAGGTTTATTGTAAAATGCACACTGGGTGTCTCTTATCTGCTAGCCCTATGTCAGTTGGCCCTTCACCTACAGAGAACTTAGTGCAGACACCGAGAGGGACTTGTTATAAAGCAATCACATATGCATGCCAATCAAGGTGTAAGCAGTCTTTTATCTTTTTCTGGATTCTGAATTATTCATGCAGGTGTCTTGTTTTATCTTTCCCAGTGATGCGTTGAGGTCAGTATGAAATGCTGTCAGAACTGAGGGTCAGATGTAGTTATTTGGAACTTAGGAGGAGAACAGTGTAATGAACCAGCACTCTGGACAACGAAAGTAGATCCTGGGTTACACTGCAGAGAGAGCCCGCTGTGTCTTCCTCTGTTAACTGTAATTCCACCTTATTTTGTCTGCATCAGAAGATACTGAGGTTATGTACCCTGTACTGTAACTCTATACTAAGGTGGGATTAGCCCGCTGCATTTGGAAAATGGAGAATTAAACCAAAGAGCCATGAGTCCAACTCTTTGGTTTTCGATATTATTTCCTACTTTCTTGAGGCTTCCCACATGTCTTCTTCCTGCTTCTGCCTCAGGTATCTGACTCGGTGTTGGCTCAAGGACAAAGGGTAGGACATGATTCCTAACTAGTTAGCGAAGCAGCGGTAATACTGATGAGAGGCCCGTGATTTACAGTGTTCTTACTGCTCTGTAACAGTTCAGGATGTTTATCCTCTGTGGAAACCACTGAGAGGCTGGAAGGTAAGAAGATGCCTTCATCGCCTTTGTTCTCAAGAAATTGGTTTATCAGGATGCACTGGTTTCCCTGAGCATTCTGGTGGCAGTGCCCCCATAAGGGTTTCCAGAAAGTAATTCTGGGGGAGCAGTAAGAAACTGCGAGGGTGTCTCTCTGTCTTTCCCACTTCTGCTCTCTCTAGGGTATACTCGCCAGGCCCTTCGTGTAAAGTAGGGTTTCCCCGTCCACAAGGGATGTACTCTGAGAGTCCCAGCAGACACCTGACAGATGGGTAACATCGAGCCCTATGTACTGTACCGATGACCGAGATGGGCACCAAGTGACATCAGGAAGGTGGCACATACAGAGGGGGACACCCAGACAAGGGATGCTTCATTTCCAGGCAGCAGGAAAGGGGCTGATGTGAGGTTGTATTGTGCTTCTCTGAATGGTGAGCACATAAAATTTTCTGTAATTTTCCGTGTCAGTCTTTGGACCGTGGTCCATGGCTCGTGATTTGGTCAGGTGGCCTATTTCATGTGGGCCATTGGCAGGACAGTGCACACCTTGTGTATGGGATGAGAAAAAGAGGAGCAGAAAGGTCTGAGGTTTCCTCAGGGATGTGCTCCCAGGGACCAGAAGGCCTCAGTTCTTCAGGTCTCCGCCACTTCCTACTGGCGTCAACCTGGGGACTAAAGCTTTTAACTCCCAGGCCTTTGGGGGACATTTCAGATCCAAACTATAGCGGCCACCCTGAGAGAGAAATTTTCTATGCCCACCTCACCAGTGAGCAAACAGGCCACCTGCTTCCCACGGCTCATGGTCCTGTGCTCTTCTTCCAAGGCAACAGAACATTTCCAGTCCCTTTCTCCGACTGGCTCTCCTCCCTCAGCTTCTAAAACCCTTGTCATCACGCTGGGCCTACCTGTCATCCACGACAATGTCTCTTTTTAAGATTCTTGGTTTTGTCGCCTTTCTACACCTTTACTGATGTAAGGTAGCACTAGATTACCTTTGGGAGGGCGGTTGCGATTCAGCTCATCACGGTCAGCAGCCAAGCATCTGTCTGTTTTATTCTCGTATCGATCCACTTTATTGTACAGATTTAAAAAAAACTTTAAAAATTAAATGAATATTCTAAAATCACATGTTTAACTATCACTCTGGAATCTGATCTCCCCGCCAAGGAGGTCCTCCCTGTATCCAAACCCTGTTTCCTTCCTGAAGCACACTCACATTCACATTTCTTTGGTTTCTTTATCTTGGACCGGAAAGGCAGAGAGCCGTGCCCCTTTTATCCACCGGAGTATGACGGGCACAGGACTCTGCCCCACACGGGTGTGCACTTCTCTAAAATGTTTTTTGAACGAAAGAAGAATGAATACTGTGCGCTTGGGTAAGAAGAGCCCAGTCTCCCATGAATCCTTCTTGTGTAGCAGCTCTTGGCAAAGTGTAAACCCTTGGCTATTTTTAAAGCACTTGAAAGGAGTGAACTACAGGGTTGCCCATAATTGAGTTGGGGGCATCCTGTTCTCTTCTGAACTTGCTAAGGCTGTGTGCATTTCAGCATGGTAATCTGTACCTAGAGGTCCGCTGTACACTGACCGCTGAGGTTTACATCAACACCTTTTGGGGACATTCTTGAAGGCCTCCCTTTGTTATTTCAGTTTACCGTCAGAGAAGGAAACTAACTGCACGTTTCATTGTCATGTGAGGTTTCCTGTGTTTGGCCTTAGAGAAGTAATAAAGGAAGAAAAAAATCACTGAGCCACACAGGTGTCACTTGGCGTGTTATATACCAATTAAATGCAAAAATAAAATTCGTTAAAACAAAAAAAACCCCAGGTCATCTCCCAACCAGAAAATGAGATCTTTGAAGTCTTAAAAGAAGGAACCTGATGCTAAACAACTATGTGAAGGAAAGTTAAACAGCACACCTCTCGTTGTCTTGGAAACCGATTATATTTATATTATGAGGTACTGGACATCGCTTCACGTGTCACCCAATCTTGCCGAGTGAATACAGCCGCTATTCGGTCAAAAGATTTTACATCAGGCATCTTCTCTCTCAGGAAATGAGATCCCTGTCATGGGGTGTTATTGAAACAAGGAGGGCGTATGAGACCCAAGGGAGATGTTTTCTCTTTCAGTGTTGATTCCAAGATCCCAGATTCTTCACCTCACTTTTAATGTATTTACTTTGATTCCAGTGGCCAAGGACGTCAACATCCTTTTTGATGAGCTAGAGGCTGTCAATAGTCCTTGCAAAGATGACGACTCCCTCCTTCACCCTGGAAACCTGACCAGCACTTCGGATGACGCCAGCAGATTAGACGCAGGCGGAGAGGTAAGAGTGTGTGCATTCTGAAAAGCAGAATCCTCGATTCAGGTCAGAACCTGTGATGTGTGTTGGAAAGGGCTTTTTGACGTCTGAATCTCATCAAGGTGTAGACTCCTGGAAAACAGGAAATAGACTTTATATTCTTCTGACATCTCCCATAGTTCTAGCACTTTCAGGGATTCAAAATCTCCCCATGCTCAGGACAGGCTCTCAGTGGACAGTGTGCTTACCTTCTTATCCCTGCGGACATTTCAATTATGCAAAGGAAAATTCTCAGAAATGCACGTGAATTTAAGCTGTACATCCGGGGTGCTGTTAAAGAGTAAAACATAAGCTTTAAAGGATGCATTGCCTTGGATAAACGCCCCCAGCATGTAGAATAGTGGCATAAAATGCACCGCCTTCCGTAAGCCAAGTGCCTGAAGCTGCTGTAGTTGGGAACCTTCGCGCAGTTGTGCACAGACCCAGCTGTTCATCTCGGAAGAGGAAGAATCCCGGTGGAGGTGTTTGCTGTGACGCAGGCTGTGTATCACCAGAGTCTAATGTTTCCTTCATTCGTGCACCAGGTAGAGGTGATCGGCACAGAACCCGAGAAATGTGGATGTTTTGCATTCCCTGGTGTTTTTGTTGTTCCAGAGCTAATCAAACACTGAAAGAATGACATTTTTTACACAGGGAGCACTGCTGACTTCTACTGAGCTTCACAGACTTCCCCCCACCAACACCGTACAATACCTCCGTGCCTGTTTGTCCTTGAGAAAAAAGTTCATTCTGTCATTGTCTGGTCACACGGAGACTTGGACTGCCACGAGGTGTCATGGCTAAGGGACACTGAAAGGGACTCAGACAGCAGCTGCTCTCGTCCTCTTATTTATAGATGAAGAAATGACCTCAGGAGGATTAGGGCTTCCCCGAAGGAGGCACAGGCCATTGTTCTGCTCACGGTGACCGTCCTCGACGGAAGCCCTGTTATCTTACCATTTTACTCGTGGTCCAGGGTTCCAGCTTCAAGCTCATAGCCTCACACGTACCAAGTAAGCACTGTAGCTCCATTCTGTGGTCCAGAGAAGACAGAGTCCTCATTTCTGTTTGGCTGGGTTTGGAGGCACAATTTTGAAATCTTGTTCCCTGAGACATGGAGTTCCAGCCACACCCGCTCATCCTTGGTGTCCTTTCGTGTCACCTTTGTTACAGGCCTAAGGAGCCTTCTGTTCTTTTCCTTTTAATATACATAGCATTCGTGGGCCACAAAATCGTATTTGTAACTTCTGTGTAAGTTATAAGGTGTAGTAAAAAAATGAACGCCTAGAATCTCCAGCCCACTTATGAATTCGAAAGTGTTTTTCAGATTACCATGACAACCTCATCATTGGCCCCCTAGTCCCAGTTATTTTTTGATGCAATGGGAAATTAACATTAGAGTGTATGGAGCTAGAAAGGATAAACATTGCTTTGGAGAAATTTGTCTCAAGTATTTTGTGTGTGTGTATTTATGTATATGCACCCTCAAATAACAAAGCCAAATGTTTTCTTCCTGTGAGCAAAAAAATCTGAGACTCGCGGATGCAGAAAATTGGTAAGGCCATGGAAGCGATTAGAAATCCTGTACTTCTCTGACAAAGGCACTGCCTTCCTGAACTCCTGTGTTTTTTTTTACTCTTTTACTCTTAAAATGGTTTTAAGACATGGAGTCTTAATGTAATTTTAGATTTATTTTGTGTTTTGTAAGGTGGCATCGTGTGGTAAGAAATCTTCTGTGACTTTTCTTTCCTGTCAATGTTAAGAATCATTCTTTTTTCAGATGCAACTGCAGTTCATTATTTTCACTGCTGTATAGCATTTTGCCATACAGCTTTTGTACAGTTTATCCATTTATTTCCTGTCCATAGATACCTGAGTTGATTCTGATTTTTTAAAAATTTCTACTACTGCGAACAATGCTCCAAATATTCATATACACATCTCTTTGTTGAGAATCTCTCTAGAGTAGTACATCTTTCAGATGAACAGTTTTACTGGGCAATACCAGAGTGAACCTCAGAACTCATGTACCAGTTTTTACTCTCACCTGTAGATTCTGAAAATCCTCAGCCGCTCCAGATCCTTGCCAATGCTTGTAGCATTCTCATTACGTTTCATTCATTTCCCTCCAAGCTTTTTCAAATGTGTTTCCTCTTTATATTTTTATTAGAGAAAATATAATTTTAGTCAAACCCCATGAAACATTCATTGAGCTTTCGCTTGTCTTTAATATCACTTACCTGCAGCTCAGGTTCACCGGCCGGTCCCTTTCTTTTTGTTTGCAGATGGTGCGGGAGAAAAACAAGTTAAATGGACTTTACTTTCGAGATGGGAAGTGTCGAATCGACTATATTCTTGTGTACAGAAAATCCAGCCCCCAGACTGAAAAGAGAGAAGTGTTTGAAAGAAATATTAGAGCAGAAGGATTACAAATGGAGAAAGAGGTAAATAGTATGCTTGCATGAGAAACAGCAGCAACAACAAAATGTACACACACACACACACACACACACACACACATTGAGTGGATTTAAAAAGTTGGCAGTTACTCATCATGTTAACAGAATATTTCATGTGGCCAGACTTTGCCAATCTGGGGAATGTTTCGGCAGTTAGACTTTCATAGCACAGCCTGCCTTTGAAAGCCTTTCATTGCCAGGTGATTCCACGACAGCCAGAATATTCTGCTCCGCTGAAATGGGTTGTTCCAGAGTGTGACTGTTGACCTGACTTGCTGTGTATGTACATCTGCTGCATCTCTGTGTGTGTGAACGGAGGGCTCTGCGCACACATGGCAGAGAGAACTTTGGAGGAAGAGCAGGGGCTGCATGGAGACTGTTTTTACACTGTAGAGAACACGGTGAGGTTGGGTGCCCCTTCACACACAGGGCACTTTCTGGCCGAGCTGGCCGATACAGCCGGCACTTACAAAGTGGTTCCAGCTGGAAGAGACCTTCAGGTTATTTTTGTCAGGTTCCAGAGCTCAAGGCACCTCTCTCCCCTCCTTGTCTTCTCTACCTGAGGGGCGATCTCGAAGTCAGATGTGGCTTTTCCGTTGTACAGCACCTGTGACACTTCATGCAGCCTGCTGGTTACATGGAGACATCATATGTTGTTACATATTTATTTTTGAGACAGGGTCTCACTATGTAGTTCAGGCTGGTGTTAAACTCACTGTATAGCCAAGGCTGGCCTCTAATGTGCAGTGATCCTCCTGCCTCAGCCTCCCCAGCGCTGGAATTTTAGATGTGCACCACCACGCTTGGTGGAGACATTGAGCATGAGAGGCCTGTCACCCACCCTGCACAAGCAGAAGGACACATCTTGCTTTTTCCTCTGCTGTGGGGCTCGGAGAACATTTCCTATACCAGTTGTACTTCTCTTTGATAAATCCCAGTTTTTAAGTTCTTACCGAGACATTTATATATTCTCTTCTATTTACATTAGCAGCACATTAATATGTTTATCCTTAAAAGTCTTCCCTTGCCAGGCCAGGGATTTAGCTCAATGGTTCCACTGCCTGCTATGCAAGTGCAAGGACCCAAGTTCGATCCCTGGTACAAAAAAAAAAAATCTTCTCTTGCCTTTTATTCTTAGTTCTTCATGACAGAATTCTTATGTGAAACATCAGAGCAGCTACATGATCAGGAAGAATGAAAGTCCTTCTGACTGCTGTTCGATTTTGATTCCCATCTAAATCAATAGCTCCGTTCTATGAATGGGAGATTTATGTTTTAAGCTTCCTAACTGTTCTTTCCTCTGTATAAAATCTGTATGTCAGTGTTATTTCACGACTTAGTGGTTAAAACTCGATAGCCTGAGGCTTTTCCAAACAATGCCTGTTACTAAAGAGCTCACACGGCTCCTTCTGCGGCTCCTAAACCTCCCTGTTGGGTGGTGCTCCGCTGTCGGGGTCCAGCAGGTGGGGAGGAGGAGGTTTGCCCCTGGGGCGTGTGTGCCGTGTCCGTGGTATAACAGGTGGACTGCTTGTATGATCTCACTTGTATACAGGGTGATCTTGTTTCTTATAATTAAAAAATTTTAATAGCTGAGTATTTATTTTAATGGATATTAGAAAAAATAACAGTTGGGGAAAGGGCATGGTCACCATATTGCAAAAGTTCAAAAAATATCACCCTTCCACATTTCTTCTTGGAGCAGCATCTCCCTAGCTGTCCTGTCTCTGCAGCCTTCTGCTCAGTGCCACCTCCCAGGGCTTCTCTCTCCCCGACGCTGCCCTCCACCAGGGTGCATCTCACCCAAGCCCTATGGCCTCCAATGGCACAAATGCTCAGCCTGTCTCCCGTGGCCCTTCCAGCCCCATGTGGCGGCCACCGGCCTCAGACACCCCAGCAAGAAGGGGCCTCTGCAGGCTGCCTTGCTTAAGTGGCAGCAGGAAATGACAGCTCGATCAATTTTTCTCTGCCACAAATAATTAAAATAAAATGCTCCTTGGAACAATTAAAAAATTGCATTTACGTAAGTGTAGATGGCACCAGAAGCACTTTTATTTAAACCAAGTTCTTTATAAATGGCAGCCGCAGAGAGACACCTATCTTAATGGTTAGGTTAGCTTCTAGGGTTACTTCAGCCTCCTGTGGGTTATCAAGGTAAAGAAAGAGGGGGACAGAGAACTCCAGACTCGTGTGCGTCCCAATGACTGACACTAACTACATTTCATGAATGGTTAGCGATTTCTTCATTAGCTTGTTTCATGATGTCTAACAGCTGGGGAAAACGTGTTTCCCTGGCAAAGGTTTGTTTCCAAACTGATAAAGATAGGCTCTGTAGTCCCATTGACTCGAAGAGACTCCTTCCCTCTTTTTAACAATGAATTTCAAAACAACTAAAGAGGATCATGAAAGCGGGGACGCCTCAGATTTAATCTTTCTGAGAACCTTTGCCCAAGACTGACGAGCCAGTGAGGAAGGTCTTGCCGTGGTGGTCTGGGTCACTATAGCTGCACACCTCGCATTTCATGTGAGCCCAGAGAACGCAGTTCACGGAAGAGTTCCCAAGTGGAATATTAAACCCAGGCACTTGGCTTTGGAGTATCTGTCTAATAATTCGTATTTCCTGTTTTTTAACTTTTTTCTGTCTGTTGTTGATCTGTTGGTACCAATTTTGAAACTACTGTCACTTGTAAGAGGTTTATCTTTTCTTTCGTACTATCAGTCAAGTCATGGATGAATTTTGAATTATTTGGGATGTGTGAGAAGTGATTGTGTTAATGGAGAACACTCCACTCCCTTTAGAATCATGTGGACATGGGAAAAATTTCTAATCATTACGGCATTTTAAAATAACGCTAATTATATAAATCACCCCAGCTGGATGATAGCTAATTCATTCAACAGATATTTATTGCACACCCACTCTGTGTTAGTCATTGCTTTGAGGATTAGGAACTCAGCATGGGATACAGAGACAAAATCTCTTGCCTTTTTGGAACTTCAAGGACAAAATAAATAAGCAGAATGTGTAAAATATCAGTCAGTTCTAAGGAGGAAAAAGGAAAACAGGGAATATGGGAGGGGCTGGGAATATTATAAAAGTTGGTGGGGTTGGGAGGGGCTCTTCTCCAGAGAATGCGAACAGAAAGTACAAAGGCCCTGAGGCAGGAACATACCTGCTATGTTCATAGAACAAAGAAGAGACCAATATAATTGGAGTTACTGAGCAAGATGGAGCATGGTAAGAAATTATGTGGTATGATCAAAACTTACAGTGAATGTCTAATAAAAATAACTACAGTAAAAGACACATTGCCATTAATTTCCCTCAGAATATTCTCCATCACTTTAAACACACATCATTTTTGCCACTTTCTGGAGAACTTCTGGAAGTCTTCTTTTGTGTTTATGCAATGTGATTAAAAAACATGATGAGTGCTGTTTCCAGGTGTCATCCAGGGGAAAAAGACAGGCTCATAAAAATATTATGGTGTGTTCTCATCCACCTCCTTCACCAGGTCTTGCCCCGAGCAGCTGCTGGCTCTTCTCCAAAGTGAAAATGACCATGAAAGTCCTTGTTTCTAATTGACTCAGGACATCGAAGCAGCCATAACAGCATGACGAAAAGCAAGAAAGAGAACTTCCAGAACCGCCTCAGAAGGGGGCAGCAGCGATGGGATGAGTGTTCTCAAAACCGAGGGGGATTAGTGGTGGTGTGTCTTTTACTGTAATAATTTTTTTATAATTTAAAGATTCACTGAAGTTTTTATTAAATTATGTCTTGTATATCAGCAAGGCAGTGGAAGCCAGAGGACCTTGGGCTTCAGCAGTTACTGGGAAAATTTACCTTTTCTCTGACACGGGAAGCCATTGGAAGGTTTGAGCTGAACCATGAAAAGATACGGTTTTGTTGCATTAAGGCCCCGCTGGCTGCCTGATAAGATTAGTCAGGCTGTGGAGCAGGGGCAAAGGCGGCAGCAGAGACACAAGATCATCGTAAGAATCCGAGGAAGAGACAGTGGTGTCTTGGCCCAGTCTTACAGTAAGAGGGTGGGAGGCAGAGCTGGTGGAAATCACACGAAGACCAAATAAGAAGGTGCCGGCTACTCACGGGCTACACGGTGTCCATCCACGCAGTTGGAAGGAATTGCCATCGATGGGATTTGGAAAAGAGCTGGTCTCGTTGTGGACTTGCTAAACCTGAGCCACCCCAGGGGAGCTGCTGGGTGGGAGAGTCTGAATTCTGGAAAAGACCTGGGATAGAGAAATGCATTTCGGTGAGACCTCGGACCCAAGTGTTCTGAGTCGTGAGGACACCAGTGCTGCAAATGTGAAAGATCAAGAGAGATTAAGAGGGAGCCTCCCAAGGAGCTAGAAAATCCAGCCAGTGTGGCCCCCGTTAACGTTCATAACCCTATCCAGCTTACCATTCCCCCAGGATCAGAGCTGTGAGGATATGAGAAGACTCCTCCTTCCTACACAGTTAAAAACCGTGATAATGATAATGAAAGTCTAAAATGAGTAAGTATCAGGACACTGAGCTACACATTCCTGACCTCTAGTACTTCCTGGTCTCAGAAGAAAAATCCCTGCTCTCACGCCACTCAGATCACTTCTACTTCCTTGCACGTCACATGTATTACCTTCCAAGGGTTCCCAGCTAGAATGAAGAGAAGGAGAAGTTAGGACAGTCATGAGCACAGGGTGAAGAATGCTGGTTTTTCCTCCGAATCTCATGGCCCTGGAGATTCCCAGAGTGTCTTTCAGGAGTTAGCCAAGATTGCTCCACACCGACGGTGACTTCTTTGATAACTGTGTCTTGGGTGAAGTTTCCTAAGCAGAAGCAGAGCCTGAGGTGAGGGTTCTTGTTGATTGGTGGGGTGGTCTTAGGAGAAAAGGGAGTGAGAGGAGCAGGAGAGAAGACCTAAGCCATGAACGTGACTTCAGCTGGATCCAACAAGGAAGCTCTTGGAGAACAGCACGCACCCAGA